TGAACATGTTCCCTTCGCAACATACCCAGCTCACCCCGACGCCCCTTGCGGACTGCCGAAAACGCCGTTCTGAACGAGGTGCGGCCAGAGCCGGCGCGCGCGGCAGGCGGCTCTGCCGCTTGCGCTGGAGGCGGCCGCTCGGCAGAATTGGTCCAGGAGTGGTCCGTGGGAGGAGTGGAGCGTCTTTCTAGTGCTACCTTCCCCATTCTGTCCAGGCATCCTTCTTTCTAGAAAACCTCCGGAACCCCAGGGAAAACGGCTGGTTTTTAAAAAGAACGATGGTTGAAAAGAATGGGGAATCATTTTCACGTGCTGGGTAGACCATTTCAAGAGCGGGTTTTGAGTCTCACTTCAGATTCACAAGGGAGACCCGGTGGATTGAACAATGCAATGCCAACACCGCCATGCTTGAGCATTTCGCCGGAGCCTTTGGACGCGGCCTTGGCCGGCCCGCGCTGGTTGCTGCAGGCTGATCCCAACGAATGGTGCTTTGGAGCTTTGGAGCTTTGAGCCGGTTCAACTCCGAAACCAATTGGAATCCGGAACGGCTACCCATCCCCAAAAGGCCCCATGGTTTGAGAGTGGGACCCTTGTAGGGTTCTCTACGCGGCTTTTCTTGCTGCGATAGTCTCCTTGAAGGACACCTCCGGTTGGCTGGTTTATAAAGGTCATTCCTTTTCGCCTGCCGATTACGCACGGAGCGAGTTTTTCAAGTTTTCAAAGGATGCGGGGAAAAACAAACAAAAAAACGGCCCCTTCCCCTGTGTTGTTCTTCATTTTTCTTTTTGCGATTTTTGTTGTTTGGATGCCAAAAGCGGTCCCCTTTCCGTGTTTTCTTCTTCTTCTTCTTCTTCTTCTTCTTCTTCTTCTTTTGTTTTTCCCGTGCTTTTTTTCTTCCTTTTTTTTTTTGGGGGGGGGGTTGTGCGTTTTTCCCCATCCGAGCGGCGGATTGATGGATTACTCGGCCCAGGCTCGGCGTCTGGAGGCGCAGCAGCCGGACGATGCCGCGGAGGTGGCGCGGCACGCCTGCGAGATCCTCAGCGGCCAGGAGTGGGGGGGGCCCCTCGCGAGCGGGCGAAGCCGAAGGAAGACCCAGCAGGGAGTCTGATTTTTTCGGATTTTGTCCGAACAAAACAGCTCCATGGACAAATGTCCGGGCCGGAAAGAAAAAACCCGGTGCAAGTTTTGCCATGGAGTCTGATTGGTTCCGGCTTCGGTTTCGGTTCCGTTTCGGTGTGGACTCGCTTCTTTTGACACGTTGGACGGTGCAGGAGTGCGCCGGTGGGGGGGGGGGGAGCAAAACTGGGCTCAGCTTCTTTGTTTGTTCAGTGCCAGGGCTCGGGATCACTTTGTTCCCTCTCACCGCTGGACGGGCAGAAGACTTTTTGCCGCCAGGCGCTTTTCTGTATTTTTATCCCCCTTGTGCTTTTCAGGGTGGAGAGTAATTTAAATGATCTCTCCATTTTCAATTTACTATCCAACATTCTTACAGAGGGTTGGGGCTGGAGCAAGTCCTTTCCCACCCTAGGCAAATAGAACTCACTCCAGGCCCCTTTGCGCTATGCAAAGTGCTCGGCAGCTGTTCGGGCTACTAACCTATGAGTGTGAGGGTGTCTTTTAGACTTCCATTTTATTTTTATTTATTTTTAGTTTCCTTTTAAAACCAACCCCAAAAGGGTACCCTACCTCCCACTAACATGGCACCTGACTCGGGGTCCCTTGACAAAATTGACCTTCCTGGTGCGGTTTCCAGAATTGCGTCATGTTGATGAGAGAAAGGACAACCTCACAAGGACAGACCCCAGCGCGTCAATCTTGGCGTGTTCGAAAGCGATTGCGTCAGGAGGTTGCGGAGGGTTCCTTGCCCGAGCGGCTGCGCGTGCCTCGGTGTGGGGAATTCGCATCGAGGTGGAGCCTCTTGAGCCGCGAGGTTTTGCTCAGGCAACCCGTCAGCTTGGTGGATTGGATTGGTTTGGGGATTTGAAGCCCTGGTTCTCTTGCAGAGGGTACCGGATTGGTTCTTGCAGACTAGCTCCAACCATCATGGAAGCTGCCAGGAGGGTTTCGGAAGACAGCTTTCCTTTTGGGGAAGCCCCCTCTCCACTTCCGTGATGCCGTGTGGTTTGCCAGAGCAAATCGCTGCCATAGTAAGCGGAGGGGTGAAGGTCAGACAGGCCAGACACTGGGACACAGCAACCAGACCAGGATGCACCCTGGCTTATTGCAAGTGAGGGCTTTGGGAGGGACACGTAAGTTGAATCCAGGCAGATTCCCTCCCGTCATGAGAGGGACCTCGGTGCGAGCGACCTCGTGGCTCCGTTCGCCGAGGTAGCGCACGACTCCGGCGAAGCTGGGGTGTCCGGCCGGTGGTTGGTGGCAGGCAGGTGCCCAAGAGCGACGTTTTCCGCGAAGATCTCAGAATGAGGCAGCATGGTGCTGCCTTGAAGGCTTGCCATTGACGCGTGAGGAAAACAAAAACAAAAAAGCACCATCGTTCCTGGGATGAGTATGCACTAGCCTCAGCTGGAGGCCAATTCCCCAGAGGCGGCGCAAGCTCGCGCGGCCAGAAAACTCAGACACCACGCGTTGGCCTGTGCGCACGCAGCTGAAAGGCATTAAACGTGTGTGCAGCATCTAAATCTCCAGCCCCACGCCTCTCCCGCCCATCCATCCGGATGATCATTGTCACGAAAGCTAGCTTTAGCTAGCTGAAGTTTCTCCTTGCGTAAGCAAGGTAAGGGGCTCAAATGCCGAAAGATTGATTTTTTCAATTATTTGAGCCGAAAAGATTGAAAAACATCAATTATTTAGACCCCCCCCCCTCCCCCCCCCCCCCCCGGGTCTCAGGCTCGATTCCTCCCTGGTCCATCCCCCCCCCCCCGGGCAGTGGCTCAGTGTTCAGCAGTCTCGGTTTGCCCGTTTTGGACTTGGTGCTACGAACTTTTACATGTTCCACCGATTCAGCTTGTTCATTTGAGACCTCAGTCTTCTCGGTAAACCACCTCGCAAGAATCTTTGCACACGCTGCATGCAGAACCCAGAGGTGCTTTAAGACAGCTTCTGACGCCTCTCGTTGTTTTCATTTTTCAAGGTTTGCCACGCCACCATGTGCGTTTGCGTGTCGCATCCTACGAATCTTGTCGGGCCTCTCGTTGTACACAAGCTACCTATGAATCCACTCTGTCACCGACCCATCTCATGCAACAACTGCTAGCTTTCGTTCACCCGCTCCTCAAGTTTTTTTCCCTCCAGCCTCCTGAGACGGTACGCGGCCCACGTCTGCGCTGCACTCGCCGTGGGCCAGGCTACCTCCGCGAGGAGCTGTGGCTGCTGCGGAGAGGCGGTAGAACTGGCCGCCGGCGCGCCATCGCCGTGCTGGCGGGGGCGCCGTCGATGACCTGGGCGCCGGAGGCGATCAGTGTGGGAGCGGTCTGTCAAGCGGTCCCCAACCAGGTCCCCCAGCTAGGTGCCCTTTTGCCGTTTCTTTTTTGGTTGGGAGGGTTCCCCTACTAAAATAGATTGCAGAAAAAAGGGTACCTTCATTCTAGCTTCTCTACTGGATGACCTAGCCACCCATGCAACAGGATCAGTAGAATTCCTCGATTTCAGATAGCCTGAAGCTGCATGACATGGCACGCAACGTCGATGCTCAGAGTTCTCTGACAGTTCTTCTGAAACCCAACCTCGGACCCGGAGGAACGAAGGGATCAGAGCTTCTAGCCCCGCGCTACTAGCACCTCATGTCGGCGCCGAAAAATCGCCCTGCAACAAGCGGAGCGTACCGCAACCATGCCCCCTTAGTTCGGCGAAATCGCTACTTGCATGGCAGATACGCCCGTTACTGCCCGTTACTCAAGCATGGACGCACGCCAATTTACCGGATGATCACCTAGTGTGAGAGCCACATCTTCAACGCAGTTGCCAACGGAGTTCTGCAAACCTTTTTGGGCCGGGTTCGAGGTTTCGTGATTCAATGCATTTTCTATGAGGCTTGTAAGAGCGCTGAGCATATAAGACTGCAGGCCTAAAAATGGGTTAAAAGGGCACTACTGGGGAGTCTCCTTCTGACCCCTAAAATATGGTTGGTCATGACCCCTTTTTTTTTGGGTAGTGACCCCATTTTTTCAGAGGAAGGTGCCTCCCTTTGTCTTTTCTCAGGCATGCTGAGAATGAATTAGTGAAACATATGAACTCAAGGCACCGAAGCCTTTTGAGCAAGCGCATGCGATGTAGGCGTTTCATTCGCTATCTCTGGCCAGTTGGAAGGAATTTTCATGGTGGCAGTTGCCGCCGCTGCCCATGTGGGAGTTGACCAAAAGGTTTGCGAAAACCACTAAAACTAAGATGTAATATGTCCCTCTAAAGGGGAACCACTACCCATGATCATGTGGGGGCCAGGAATATGGATCAACCCCCTTTGTTTCACGTCATTGTCCCGGCCAGGGCCTTGCACTGGTTGCCCGGCTGCAAAGCGAAGTTCGGAGTTCGGCCCAGCTGCTCGGGGTTTTCTCTTTCCTGCTTCGAGTCCAAACATCTGGATAAACTCTAAACAAATTTCGCACCGGGGGCGAGAGATGTCACCTGGTTCAGGGGGTCGCGCGTCCGAAGCGCGAAGCTGTATCATTAAGGCAGAGACCTTGCCAGCGCCACGCTGAGCGCGAGCTACAGCAGTAGCCAGTGGCTTTTTCGGCTTTCTGCCTTTGGTCGGCCAATGTGCCGGCCACCGCTGCTGGGTCAAGCTGGGCGTTAGCCAGGCGTTTGCGAAGCCAAGCTGGCAGGCCGGCCTGACCGGCCGACTGGCCATCTGAAAGGAACAACCGAAACCTTGGAGCATTTCGCTTCGCCTCGTCCCATTCTTCCTGCTTGGCCGCAGTGGGGCCCCAGAAGCTCAGAAACCAACCCCTCTGGTTAACACAGCCACGCAAGATGCGGCCCTGTGGCTGGCGCGGCAGATTTTCGGGGTGGCTCAAAAGGCGCGAAGGGGCTGCGTTGGGGGACTGTGGGACGTGGTTTTCGGCAACGTCCCCAGGGCCCTGGTCCTGGTTCAGTGGCGATTCATTGATTGGGAGGTCCGCTGGCCCGCCAAAGGTTCCTCGTGATAAGTTATGTTGCACATTTTTTCCATGTGATTGCATTTTTTCGCACCTCGCACCTTCCTTACATGGTGGGCATCGCGAGTACCGGCGGGGATGTTTGCCTCAAAGCTGGACATGTGAGGGTGTGTGACAAGAAGTGTTGCCGCGTTTCTTGCTTGAAAAATATGAACAGCAGGCTTCAAGGGTCCCAACCCTGGCGCTGTGATGACTCGGAGATGCGATCAAAGAATGTTGAGCCATAGTCAACCCAAGTTTATTAATAGGGGTGTTTTTCTGGGTTTATTACTTTTGGAGAGGAATTTCCCCCCTGGTAGCAAACAGGGGTTGATTAATATGGGGTCAACAGAAGGATCACTTGTCCCGATCTTTGCAAGGAACGGGATGGCCCAGCCAGAGGGCTGAGTTCATGGAGTACTTGGCGCATGAGATGTCCTTTTGGCTCGACTGATGGATCGCCACGTCATACTTTTGCCTTCGACCTACACGTATGGGTGTGTCTTGAAATCCTCCAAAAATCGATTCGGTTTTCCTTTTGGTTTCTTTTGAAACCACAAACAGATGAGTACCAACTCGACAAGACGAGCCCCCCCATGTGTCTGGCTCACACGTGCGCTTGAGCCCCGTGTCTCTCATCCGCCCGACAAGGCCATCGCCTGGCGGCTCTGGCGCTATGCGCGCAGGGACCGAGCCAAAGGGCGACGTATGGCGGTACTTTTGCTTGGGGCTTGGTTTGAACAGGGCTCCTTAAAAGATACATTTTGCCCATTTGAAACATGGCTTTTTCCATCAAAATAAGGAGAAACCACCATTTACAAGGCAATGTTCAGCTGTATGTAAGGATCCCTGTTTGAAGGGAATCCAAAAGGAAACCGTTACCATAGGTACCGATTCCTATGACGCAAAAGGCTTCTGAAAGCTGTGGAGAGCCTCTCGGGTTCAGAGCCACTCACAGTGCAGCCAATCCGCGTTGGGAAGATTCCGAATCGCTTTGCTTGGCGGGTATGGCTAAGAATGGAAACATAAGCCCCAAGCCCTGAGCTAGAGGCTTGGCGCTCCAAGTTCTTCAATCCCTGATAAATAGAAAGCGAACTGGAGGGTGACTCCATGGTTGTTGGGACACATTTTGCTTGTTTTTGCTTATCGTGGTTGAGTGGCTGGAATCCAACCACTTGACTGCTAAAATCTGATTTGTGATTTTTTTGCTGCCCTTCCAACGTCAAGTGACCAGGGCCTGAAGAAAGCGATCGGTTGGGCCTTTGTTCGGTAGCCGTCGGGCTGTGCCGGATGCAGCGCCGCTTCGCGAGGCAAGCGGAGGCAATCGTTGCAACCTGCAAAACGGCAGAGGGGCAAACGGCTCATTTGGCCATGCCCATTTCGGGCAACCGTCCCCGAAGTATCCTTTACACCCCCCACTTTGCTGGCCAGGGATCCGATGCCGGATGGGAAATCAGGGTCGGCTTCAGTCAGGAAAGCCGAGAACTCTGCTGAGTTGCTGCATGATGGTCATACTGTGGGTGGACAAACTGCTGCATCAGTTGGGATGGATGCGCAGCAAAATACGTGTGGCCGACGATTTTTTCTTCTCTTTCCTTTCTTCTTTTTCTTTTTCTGGTGGATCTCCATCCGGAAATTTATGTCTTGTGCTCCTTTGGGGCAGCCAGGGTTTCAACGCAATTGCTGCTGCCTCAACAGGATCTCCATCACTCTCAGGCTCAGCTGCTTCATCTGGAAGTCCTGCAATTACTCCAGCTCGTTCACGATCTCCATTTCGCAAACTGACCCCTGCGCCTTTTGCATAATCCCAGCTTCGGATCTCTCGGCCTCGGCCTCAGCTTCGGAGGACGTCCGCAGCGGGCGCTCGGGGAGCTGCAGGCGCGGGTTCTTCCGCTTCGCTCCCTGGGCTTCGAAGTCATGGGCTCCGAAGAAGAGAGATCCATCCCATTTTGGCCGACCATGTAAATGACCCACGTCTTTTTTTTTTGGGTTTTTTTTTGTTTTGTTTTTTTTTTAGAAAAAAATCAGGAAGTGAGGAAGGGTGATTCGACACATCGGCTTTTTGATCAGGGCTCCTTGGAAGATATCGATCCATTTGGCAAGCACAGATTTGAAACATGTGGCATGTTCATTTCACCAAAATAAAGAAATGGGCACCACCAGAAAACAAGTTGCAATGTTCAGGTGTATGTAAGGATCCCAGTTTTGGTTGTAAATGTCCGGTTTGGTCTTTTGCCAAAGGAAGTGAGGAATGGGGTTCTGGTGCATGAGCCAGAGAGGTCAAGCCTGGTCAAGCATTGAGAAAGAACTGGGTTGCACACTTCCGCGCTTGACGGTTGAGGGTGAAGCCTCGGCCACGCCAGAATTCGCAGGCCAAAGCACCGCCAGTTGGTTGACAGCCATTTTCAAACAGCCATGGGCCAAAATCCCGTACCCCCAGTGAACATGCTAGTCCCCACTAAAATAGGCTAAAATGGGTGCTGCACCTACCCCAAAATGGCACCATTGGTTTTGACCCGCAGCCAAACAGTTTCTCAAGCACCACTCAGGGAAAACCCAAGCGCTCGCGCGAGGAGATGAGCGCCCTGCTGGCTCCTGCCGCACAAATTGAAGCCCCCCCTCTGCTGGCACGCCTGACGGAGGTGGGGGTGCGCTGATTGCCGCAGCTTCCCGGTGGGCACTAGGCGGCCGCTGTGCTAAAAGTCAATCCCAAAAAACACGGCCATTGTTTAAAGCAACATCCAGATCCTCTATTTAGTGGCTGGTATGCTACCCCAAAGTCAATCCCAAAAGGCGCATTTTGTTTACAGCATCTGCTTTTGTCGGTGGAAGAAGCCACTTGGGAGCTGGCGGGTGACCTTTGGAAGACGTCGAGTTCATGGGGCAACCTGATACACTCCTGTGCGGACCCACTGTGTAACAGCATTCCATGCAAGTCATGGGGACAACTAGCTTCCAAATCCGCCTTTGATGAACTCTTTTGGGAGGGCGCTTTTCCAGCTTTCGATTGCTCCTCGAATCGCAAGAAAGCACGCAGCCTAGGCCCCCCCCCCCTGCATGATGGAGCACCCCCCGGCCATGCCCCCTATCTATCATAATATTTCCAACTGATTCGAACATTTTACCTCTGGCAAAACAAACCAACAAATGGTTTCCCATGGTTTCAAAGTGGTGCAGGAGTTTGTCCATCCACAGTAGGTTTTGTTCGGTACATATCCCATGATCGGACATACCGACGCGCTCAAACGCTGGTGTCTCATGGTTGCTTAGGTGCTGCGAAATGGATTTCGCAACCATCCACTCTAGGAAACGGATTGGATGCCGTTTTTGTGGATCCCCTTTTTGTGGATCCCCAGGAAAAAGAACCGGTGAAATCCCACGAAGAGCGCCTCCAAGTCGTTTCCAAGAGACTCAGCATGGATCCATGGGCTTCAGGATCTGCAAGCGCTGCAGCTGGAGACGGAGGTCGCCGCCGAGGCTTCAGACAGAGCTCAACATGTTACGGAACGTTTTCGCTGGCATGCAATGGGAAGCCGAAAAGGATGCCGCATGTTTTTTTTTTTTTTCCCCCTTTTTTTTTTTCGTTGGCATGTTAAGGAGAGCCGCAAAGGATGTCAATGAATCTGATGAGGACCCGCTGCTACTGCCCTGGCCCGATGTTCGTCAGGTCCTTTTGTGGCGTTTTCTTCGTTTTGCACGGGGAGTTTGTTGGGTTCAACTTGGCGAGTTTTGACACGCGAAGGGACGTGCACCAGGGTCTGGCCCAACTCGGACACAACAATGCTATGTGCAAGACTGCAAGAGCTCAGAGCAGCGCATTCACACGGAGTGCTGAGTCATTCGGCATGCCTCATTGGCAGAAAAAGCTACGCCCTCCCAAACAGTCATTCACTTAGGCTCAGTCTGCGGTGAAAGGCGAACAGCCGGAACAGCCCGGCCCAATGTCAAGAAATCCACGCTGATCGCGGGCAATGGTGCAGTCGTGGCTGGTGTTTGATAAGAGCCTTGGTAGCAGTCGGGAGGCTCGCTTCAGTGATGCGTGAGACTGCCGTGGCTTCGGCCGTTGGTTTGACAGCTGAAAATGCCGGCAAGCCCCGCTCCAGGCGGTTGGGTTGATCTTGTCCAGCAACCAATGGGGAATGAACGCCTGACATCTTGATGCGGGTTAATCACGGCGCGTGCTGATGACTTAGTTACTTGCGTGTGGCCTGGGTGACTTAAAATACCGCACTTTGCCAACTCATGGTCATTTTGCGTCCGGCTTCGTGCACCGCCAGCTCAAGAACACTCCTTCAGATCCAGGTCGCCTGACGTTTGGAGGGGGCCATCCGATTCTTCTCGTGTTTTTTTTTACCCTCAGTAAGTTAGTGCAGTTCTGAGGGTAGCTTCCCCAGTCTTTCCAGGGATCCGAATCTTTCTAGAAAACCTCCGGAAACCCAGGGAGCCCAGGTCTTGCCACATGCGGAGGCGAATCCTTCCAGCTGCTTTCTCGCAGTGTTGTGGCTCAAAGTGCGGGGTTTCTTGCTCAAGCCATGGCGATGCTTTCATACCAGCCCCTAGGTCTCAATTGGAAACCCGAATTATAAGAATCAGAGGTGGATCGTGTAGTCCTAGTGTGGTCCTAGTCTTAGTTGAGAGATCCTTGGTTCTTATTTGGTCCTAGTCCTAGTTGAGAGATCTTTCCTTCCAGTCTTAGATGGGCAAATACTGCACTGGACAGAACAAGTGGGAAAGTCTGGCAGTTTTTTTTTTTTTTTTTTTTTTAAACCAGGTTTCAGGACGGCTTTTTACCTTGCTTTTTTCCAATTCCCCCCCCCCGGTCATCTTTCACCAAGTTGGCAAAGGCATGTTTCTTTAAGGGGAACCTCCAAAAGGTAGCTGTCCTTTGGGTTTTCCCTTGAAGCTATAGAAAAGAGGCCGCCAATTCAGCAAAAGAGCCGCCCATGGAAGTCCTGAACACTATGGCTGAGGCACACCTTCGTGTCCTTGAAGCCCACGAAGCGGGCAGAGAGGGGGAGCCAGAGCCTTCCGCCGCAGCGACGCTCGTGGTCTCCGGCGAGGGACGCGCGGGAGGCGGACAGAGCTCTCAGCATCTTCGCGCAAGGCGCCGCGGAAAGAGGAAGAGAAGCACCCGCCGAAACCGATTCAGGGCCACAGGGCCTTTTGGCATCCGTTTTTTTTCTTTTGGGATGCCCCCTCTTGCGGCGAACTTGCGCAATTTGGTGGAATGGTGCATTTTTGCTCAACGGCTGTTGTTCGGCGTTGGTTTTACAAGTTGTGCGGCGATCTTTTCCGCTGGTGGTGATTTTTTGAGTTTGCTTAGACGTGTGGGTCGCAAGTTTGCTGGACGGTTCCTCTTTCAAAGACGTCTCATTGGGTTCTCTATTTCTCAAGGAAGCTGCGGAAAGCAAGCAGACAAGAGGGCTAGGGCTTTTGCCGACCCGAAGCTCAACATAACTGTTTGGCTCACTCACCCAGAGCGGAAGCCAAGAGCGGAAGCCAAGAGCGGAAGCCAAGAGCGGAAGCCAAACTCACCTTCCGCCCGAGAAAAACCCATCTAAAGCACCCTCAAGCGAACCTCGCAAAACAGATGCGCAAAAGCGGGGGACGAGATCTTTCTTTGGCTACCGTTGTGTTCTGCTTGAAGACGGGTGAAGACAAGTTTTTCTCCGTACTTCCGGCAAGGTGAATTTCAGGACCATTTGATGCCCAGTTTAGGGTACATGTCCTCGTGATCTGATTGGCAGAACCCGTTTGGTTCCCCATTTGGAAGCGAACTTTCGGGGAAGACGAAGGATCCTGGGGATTTGCGCCGGAAGCCCAGCCATATCACTAGCGTCAGTGGGAGATACATGGCTTCCGTTCTTTCGGACCTGCAGTGCCTTGAGCCAAGACATCTAGTCAAAAGCCAGCATGGCTAACCCGAAGTCCATCCCCTGGCCATTGCCCAATTGCCCGCTGAACCAAGTAGGGACGAGGTGGCGTCAACAGCGTGACATCAGTGGGCGCCTAGCGTCACTGAGTTTCAGATCCAAATGTGCTCTCTTCATGTCAAGGCTGACTTGGGTTGTTGCCTTCAGGATCGCAGACAATTCGGATTTCCCGACAAGTTTCGAATGTTCAGTTTCAGTACCTGGCCAGCATTCAGTAAACCAGGCCCCGCGAGTGAGCGGTGAGGATGTATCCAGCACTTTGGGCTGTTGATTGAATTGCCGCTTAGCCGTTCTTTGTGAATTTCACGTCAAAGCCATCAAAGCCCCTTCATGGTTGTTGTTGGGCAACATTTTACATTTTTGCTCATTGTGGTTGAGTGGTTGAAATCCAACCACTTAACCGCTAAGATCTGAAAAAAAGCCTCCCCTTCCAACATCAACCAAGCCTTGAAAATCCGAAAATTGAAAAAACACGGCCCCCCTTCCAACGTCCATCCAGCCCCTGGGCTTCTCCAGCCAGCTGAGCAGCTGAGCAGCTGAGCTGAGGCGTGGGGCGGAACGTGGGCCTCGAGGTGGATCGGGAAGTATCCCTCCACCCCGAGTTCTGCGCCCGGCCCTGCCTGCGCTTCCAGGCTGGCGCCTGCGCCTGGGGGGCTGGCTGCAACTTCTGCCACCAGCCCCACGCGAAGCGGCAGAAGCTGGACCGGCACCAGCGCATGGCGCTGCGCGGCCCCCCGGCTCGGATGTTTTTCTTCTTTTTTGTCTTTTCCTTTTTCTTTTCTTCTTTTGTTCATCTTTTTTTTTTTGGGGGGGGGTCTTCAAAGCAAATCGGGGAGTGATGGGGTTGCTTCTGATTTCGGCCATGCCCAGCGCGTTCACAATCTTCGGTTGGACCATCTTTTTAAGTGACTCCCCACCCTCCCTGGAACAGTGCCAGCAGTCATTTTGAGCCTTTTTGGAGGAAAGGGGTGGGGTGGTTTCGGCTCGCCAATGCGTAAATTAGTGTTGCCAAGACTTGACCTCAGATTAATTCATGCTCAGGGAGCCTGTGATCCTGCTTCATCTGACTGTTTTGGGGCCTTCATGGCTTTCTTTAATGTCAAGCTTTTTGGGGTGGGGAGACTCTGGCAACACTGGATTTAGAATTGGCAATAATTACGAACCGTGGGCAACCCCCTGTGTGTGTGTGTGTGACGATTTGTTGACGGTTTGGGGGCCACTTTAAAAATAGACATTCCTATATTCAGGGCTTTAGCCTTTGAGCTGGGAAGGACGCTCAAATAAACCGCTCTTTAAAAGTGAAAGGCTAAGGCTTTGATATAGTACCATAATTCTTTACTTCAGCAGGTCCGACATGACTCTTGACACCTCACCGCCAGCCAGCCAGCAAGCAAGCAAGATCTAAGGAAGCAAGACAAAAGATCGCAGCCCCTTTCAACGTAACCATCACTCCAACACACTAGCAAACTTGCCACCCACACGCCAAGGCCAACAAGGCCAGCCCACAGTGCACAAGCCTGAGCCAGTCTGAACTAACTGACACGAGCTCCGTGCAACCGTGATGGTTTTTCAAATTCTAGGTGCTGCCTTGACGCACTGTGCATTCAGGCCGCGCAGAGTTAATGTCTCCGGCCAGCGTTATTTGGACATCGGCAATCTGCGATCAGAACTTCCGGTTCCCCTCAATTGGTGGTTTGCATTGTGGGTTTTGGGATTTGAACCCCTGGTTCGTGTAGGCGCCTTTCCGAGATCTGAGGCATGACTCCGAGGGAGGCTTTGCAGATACTCGTGGAGCAGTTGGGCGACCGAGCGGAAGCTACAGAGCTGTCGCTTCATGGTTGTCGTTGGGAAATATGTTACAGTTTTGCTTGATGCGGTCTAGTGGTTGAAATCCAACCACTTAACTGCTAAAGTTTGAACACTTTTGCTCCCCTTTCAACGTCAACCAAGGCTGCAGCTGCAGCCCATTCTGGAGATCTTCCACGAGCAGCTGGCCGAGACTCCGGACAGCAGGCCCAGCCTGTCCCACAGCCAGGGCCGCAACATTGCCAGCGCCTTGGGCGGTTCGGGGCGGTTCGGCTCTGGGCCAAGAGGGCAAAGAGGCCACGTGTCATCGTAAGCCATGCTTGCAGACAGAATGTCTGGGGCAAGCGGCCAATCTCTTTTTTTCCTTTTTTCTTTCTTGTGCGTGGTTGCGTACATCTGTCAGGATGGCTAAGGCGCTCAAAGACTAGATGTTTGCGCACGGGCTTTAACACAATACGCATTTGATAGCTTTTACGTAGATACAGTTCAATCTGACCTGTAGAGCGCTTAACACTTTATCAGCTTTGCGCTAATTGGTGGTTTGGATTGGTGGTTTGGATTCGGCGTTTGGCTTTGAATTTGAACCCCTGGTTCTAGAGGGTAAATGGGGTTTACCCCTCCTTAATCACCTCCGATTCTTGAGGTCCCGCTCAAAAGCTTCGGCAAGGGTCGGCGGGCCAAAACATCAACCAGTCCCTTCGCGGTGAAGTGTTGCTGCGGCCAGCCGCGGGTTTCACCCAGAACAAGCTGGGAAAAAGGACGTGAGTTTCAAGCGCATGAAATTACCCTCCCACCAACTAACGTGTAAATGCACAAAGACCCCTTCTTTCTACAGGGGTCTGTGCACTTCCATGTTAGTCGGTGGGAGGGAAATTACACTAGCGAAGTCCAGAAGTCTTTGCATGCGGTTGAGCTCGAAGGCCCACGACGCATGACCAGCAAGCATGACAGAATGCGCAGCAGGCAAGGTGCACGAAGCAATGCTATGCTTTGTATCCCAGGCGGCGCACGTGAAGAGTGTAAAATCGCGTGGGCAAGGGGAACTATGTGATTTGAACTATGTCCCTTCACACATTGAGCCAGCTGCAGTCAGGATGTTGGTAAAGCCCGGTCTACTTGTTATATATACATATTTTTTTTGGGGAGGGGGGCAGGGTTTGTTTCAATGAGTGTTTGTGTTTGTGTGTGTGTGTGATCGTGTTCCTGTCTTTGTCTGCCTGCCTGCAGATGTCCACGCAACCGGGCGTTTTGGGCCGGGGCATTTTGCACCGCTTGCTGACATATCGCACTGTTCTGAACATATTTTTTGCCAGGGCGCGTTGTGTGCATTGTGGATGGCATCTCGGTTTGGCCTGCGCAGTGTCAGATGGGCTCTCACAGACTTCTGGCTGGCGGGGGGGCACCGCCCTTCCGAGCCAAGGATTCTTAAGTAGTTTATGTGAGGCGAAGCCTATGGATGTGTAGCACGTTTGAAGCATTTCCATGCGACGCGCTTCTGGTGTGTGAAGCTGAGTATCTAGAAACCTGGCATTTTATTGGTGGCGTGCAGTTGCACTCCATTGGCAGCCGGAGCGTGTGAATTGGCAGCGAGCAACTGGCAACATTAGTTGCTTGTACCGTAGGCGTGGGAGTGGGAGTGCATCGTAAGCCTCTTGTTTTTCCCAGAGGCACGAGGGAGCTGAAATTGTGCCCTCCCCACATGCAAGTAACAACATTGATCGGACATGCATTTGCATACTGGTGCAAACCGTGCAACCTCCTGCGTATTATGAACACACACGGGCATATATCAGTGTATATCCATATGTGTATGTATGTCATGTAATGTCATGTAATGTAGTGTAAGGTAATGTAGTGTAGTGTAGTGTAATATAATGCATTGCAATGTAATGTTATGTTGTGTTATGTTATGTTGTGTATGCATGTCTGTATGTCTGTCAGCTGTCTGTATGTCTGTCTGTCTGTATGTATGTATGTAATGTAATGTAATATATTGTAATGTAATGTAGTGTAGTGTAGTGTAGTGTAATGTATGTATGTATGTATGTAATGTATGTATGTATGTATGTATGTATGCATGTATGTATGTATGTATGTATATATGTATATATGTATGTAATGTATTCTATGTATGTATGTATGTATGTATGTAATGTAGTGTAGTGTAATGTAGTGTAATGTAATGTAATGTAATGTAATGTAATGTAATGTAATGTAATGTATGAATTAATGTATGCATGTATGTATCTAATGTATGTATGTATGTACGTACGTATGGTATGGTATGGTATGGTATGGTATGGTATGGTATGGTATGGTATGGTATGGTATGGTATGGTATGGTATGGTATGGTATGGTATGGTATGGTATGGTATGGTATGGTATGGTATGGTATGGTATGGTATGGTATGGTATGGTATGGTATGGTATGGTATGGTATGCATGCATGCATGCATGTATGTATGTATGTATGTAATGTATGTATGTATGTATGTATGTATGTATGTATGTATGTATGTAATGTATGTATGTATGTATGTATGTATGTATGTATGTATGTATGTATGTGTATGTATGTATGTAATGTATGTATGTATGTATGTATGTATGTATGTATGTAATGTAATGTATGTATGTATGTATGTATGTATGTATGTATGTATGTATGTATGTATGTATGTATGTATGTATGTATGTATGTATGTATGTATGTATGTATGTATGTATGTATGTATGTATGTATGTATGTATGTATGTATGTATGTATGTATGTATGTATGTATGTATGTATGTATGTAATGTCTGTATGTATGTATGTATGTATGTATGTATGTATGTATGTATGTATGTATGTATGTATGTATGTATGTATGTATGTATGTATGTATGTATGTATGTATGTATGTATGTATGTATGTATGTAATGTATGTATGTATGTATGTATGTATGTATGTATGTATGTAATGTAATGTAATGTAATGTAATGTAATGTAATGTAATGTAATGTAATGTAATGTAATGTAATGTATGTATGTATGTATGTATGTATGTATGTATGTATGTATGTATGTATGTATGTATGTATGTATGTAATGTATGTATGTATGTATGTATGTATGCATGTATGTAATGTAATGTAATGTATGTAATGTAATGTAATGTAATGTATGTATGTATGTATGTATGTAATGTATGTATGATGTATGTATGTAATGTATGTATGTATGTATGTATGTATGTATGTATGTATGTATGTATGTATGTATGTATGTATGTATGTATGTATGTATGTAATGTATGTATGTATGTATGTATGTATGTATGTATGTATGTAATGTATGTATGTATGTATGTATGTACGTATGTAATGTAATGTAATGTAATGTAATGTAATGTAATGTAATGTAATGTATGTATGTAATGTAATGTATGTATGTATGTATGTATGTATGTATGTATGTATGTATGTATGTATGTATGTATGTATGTATGTATGTATGTATGTATGTATGTAATGTATGTATGTATGTATGTATGTATGTATGTATGTATGTATGTATGTATGTATGTATGTATGTATGTATGTATGTATGTATGTATGTATGTATGTAATGTATGTATGTATGTATCTATGTATGTAATGTATGTATGTATGTATGTATGTATGTATGTATGTATGTATGTATGTATGTATGTATGTATGTATGTAATGTATGTAATGTATGTAATGTATGTAATGTATGTATGTATGTAATGTAATGTAATGTAATGTAATGTAATGTATGTAATAATGTATGTATGTATATATGTATCTAATGTATGTATGTATGTACGTACGTATGGTATGGTATGGTATGGTATGGTGTGCATGTATGTATGTATGTATGTATGTATGTATGTATGTATGTATGTATGTATGTATGTATGTATGTATGTATGTATGTATGTATGTATGTATGTATGTATGTATGTATGTAATGTATGTATGTAATGTATGTATGTATGTATGTATGTATGTATGTATGTAATGTATGTATGTAATGTATGTATGTAATGTAATGTATTTATGTTATGTAATGTAATGTAATGTATGTATGTATGTATGTATGTATGTATGTATGTATGTATGTATGTATGTATGTATGTATGTATGTATGTATGTATGTATGTATGTATGTATGTATGTATGTATGTATGTATGTATGTATGTATGTATGTAATGTATGTATGTATGTATGTATGTATGTAATGTATGTATGTATGTATGTACGTATGTATGTATGTATGTATGTAATGTTGTGTTGTGTTGTGTTGTGTTGTGTTGTGTTATGTTATGTTATGTTGTGTATGCATGCATGTATGTATGTATTTGTGCATGTATGTGTGCATTTATGTATGTATTTATGTATGTATGTATGCATGCATGTATGTACGTAATGTATGTATGTATGTAATTTATGTATGTAATGTAATGTAATGTAATGTAGTGTAATGTAGTGTAATGGAATGTAATGTAATGTAATGTATGATATGTATGTATTCATGTATGTATGTATGTATGTAATGTAATGAAATGTAAATATAATGTAATGAAATGTAATGTAATGTAATTTGATGTAATGTAATGTAATGTAATGTAATCTAATGTAATGTAATGCAATGTAATGTAATGTAATGTAATGTAATGTATGTTATGTATGTACGTGCGTACGTACGTCCTGTCGTGTAATGTAGCTTAATGTGATGTAATGCATTGTATTGTAGTGTTATGTAATCTAATGTAATGTAATCTATTTATGTATAAATAGACAGCTGATGATATACTCAACCATTATTGAACAACAATGTGGAAAGGTTGGCCCCCCCACTGAGGGCAAGGTCCTTTGCGCAGGGGTATGTTCAGGCAGGTTTTCTGCCCAGGTGCCATCTCCAAAATGAGCTGCCGCATGATGATTCAGGCGCTGCTGCCTGCCAGCCGCCTGGAGGCATCCCGGCTTTGGCGGGTTCAGAGGCTCCTTGAGGTGCTGAAGAGCCATTTGGCCCAGCAGGCCTGATGCAAATGCGATGGCCGCCAAATGGGTGTGTCTGTTTCAGGTGTTCCTCTTGGTTTCCCTCTAAAGTCACCAAGAAAAGGGGTACCTTGGACAAAAGAAGCCACCCAAATGAGACAGTCAGAAGTTCAAGTTCAAAAGCCGACGGCAAGCCCGTGGTCCTGAATGATTCCTAGGACATGGGTCAGCCCAAAGTCGGGTACCTGTTTTGGGGCTGCCAAGGCACCAAAGGTAGCTTGTCCCACCATTTGTTGGACCCCTTTAAGACACACTCAATTTGGCACGGGAACCTGGCTAGAAGCCTGGGCATTGGCTTTTTCGGCGACAAAGTCTAGAGCGTGGCCGGTAGTAGTTTACTTTCAATGTGCGTTGACCGCAGGGTCAAGCAACATGGCTTTCGGAAAGGCCGGCGTGATTCCCGCCAATCGATGTTTTTTTTTGCCGGCGCAAGCGCTATGGGACCCCCGCATTTGAGGAGTATCTTTTGGCAGCGGTTTGCCCTCGAATTCGAGCAAGTTTGGGTCACCTTCTGGTTCTGTCAGCGCACCTGCCGGAGAATGTTTTTGCATGCAATCGCCATCGCGAAATGTGGTGGCGCAACATATTGATCTTTTTGCCCCAAGCTCCGCGCCCAGTTTTGGAGCTTGAGTTGGCCGGTAGACAAGCTGATCTGCCGCTGCCACATTTGGCACCTTTTGGCCGGCCGATCCTCGGATCCTCAGCTGGACCTCCAGCTCCGGCGCGCCAGATTTCGTGCCAGTCACGTTTGTGTCTTGGCGTGGGGCGACCAAGATGAAGTCTTAGAGTTGAGACATTGAAAAGGCAAACAGTCAAAGAATCTGAAAGGCCACCATGCCGTCACTGTGCTTCTATTGGTTGTCTGTTTTGCGGTTCTTGCTTCCTTGTACGTTTCTACTGTCCTGCCTTTTCTGCTGGTCTACTTTTCGCATACCTATACTTTCTGCTTCATCCGCTGGCTGCACCAGGGTTAAACCCACTCCAAACCAGCTCTAAACCCACCGAACCCGCTTCTCTCCTACCCTAACCCAACGCTAAACCAACTCTCAACCAACCATAAACCAACCTCAAACAAACTGTTGTTGATAGGTTTTCCCAACAGCACACTAAGGCTACAGGATTGACGCACGTGCGCACTGCTTGGTACATAGGTAGATTTGTGGCTAGCTTGCCTATCCCTGTGTAACTGTAGGGTATCAGCCGCACCGCTCGGAGGCATGGCTGCCCTGGTAGCACAGTGGCTGACAATGATGCAAACATGTATGAAGATCCGCTGATGGAGGCTGGAGATCCAAACCACCCCAACTACAGGGACCCTTCCTCCACTTCAAGAGCTGAGCCGACTCCACGTCAGCCTTTGGCTCTACGATCAGGGGATATTAATGGGCCTGACAGGCATCCATGGTCTACGAGTCAAAGTGTCGAGAGGGATGTTGGGGCAATGTGCTTTGGTCCTAATATCGATGCAAAGCAGCACCACCATCACACGCAGCGCAGCGTCCTGAACCAGCAGGCAAGACAAGTCGCCCAATCGAAGCATTACTTTTGCAGAAGCGAGGCTTAGACAAACTGTTGGAGAACCTGAGGCTGAGGCCAAGTCGTGACATTCAATGGCCGTACGGCGCCTTCAGGAAAAAACCAAGGAATTGTCAGAGCGCGTCATCAAGGAAGCTAGTGGTCAGATGAAGAGCTTGACCAGTGAGACACCATTAAGAGACAGCATCCCGACCTTAACGTCCAGCTACATGCCCTTCAAGTTCAGATGTCTGAGCGCTTTTCTTCCTGGCCTTCGACATGATGATGGGTCTTGACGGACGGGGCGAACGACAACCCAGGTTGTACTCCCACCCCTTCGTATGTTCCACACCACAAACTCCTTCACAGCCTCCTCCTGACGACAAGAACACGGTGGACCGCCAGTTCTCCTGGTCGATGATGCAGATGATGATCCAGGGGACGAAGAGGGCGACCGCGGGAACGACACAAAAAGCAGAAGCAGAAAAAGGACAAGAAGAAGAAAAAGAAAAAATAGAGCCGACGCTTCCGCAGACGGCCCATCATCTTCGCCTTCTTTGTCTTCCTCCAGCCTGTCGCCCTCTG